GCGATATAATCCGCAAAACAGACTTTATTTTAGCCTTACCTGAGATTTTTTTACTTTTTACAAGGTTCATGTATTATCTATGTAACGTAAAATTCATAATAAAAAAGATAGAAGCTTTTCCTTTTTACTCTGTTGTGTGAGTGAGCTTTGGACATTTTGGTTTTTGCTCAGAATATCCATCATACTGTAGGATTGTGTTCCTATTTTGTAAACCAAAAATACCAAGTTACTTCACAGGTTAATGAAGGGTGCCCCCATATGAGGCTACAAGAAGGGCCTTCAAAGAAGTCATGTGGTCCTCTTATGATTCCAACTAAAGCAGGACCAAGTGCCAGTGCAGCTGTGTGCCTGCTGACGTGGTCTGCTTGGGCCACCAGCTAGTGGCTGCGAATGAATTTACCCATGAATCCCTTTAGATAAATGGAACATGTTAACTCAGTTGTCGTACATACTAAGGCTTATTTCCAAAAACACTTACTAGATGGCAACACTAACTAGATTACTGTTTAAATGAAGAGAAATTTTGATTCAGGGCTTAAAAAACAATACTGGTCAACATAAGTGTGCCCGCTGAGCACCTGGGAAGCACGGGGGTATCCAGGCGTATTGGTTTTCTATGGCTGCTGTAACAAGTTACCACAAACTTAGTAGCTTGAATAACACAGATTTGTTCTCTACAGTTCTGGAGGTCAAAAGCCTTGAATTATTTTCACTGGGCTGAGATAAAGATGTCATTAGGCCCTGCTCCCTCAGGAGGATGAACAGGACAATCTGTTTCCCTCCCTTTTCCAGCTTCTAGAGCTGCATTTCTTGGTTCCTTGGCTCATGGCCCCTCCATCTTCAGAACCAGCAAGGTAGCATTTTCAAATCTCTGTTGTCACACCACCTCTTCTGTCTGTGTAGTCAGGTCTCCCTCTGCCTCCCTCTTATGATTGTGATTACAATGAGGGCCCACCTGGATCATCAGGCTAATCTCATCTCTAGATCCTTAACTTGATCACATCTGCAAAGTCCATTTTGCTACATAAGCTAACATCCATAGGTTCCAGGGATTAGGGCCTGGATATCTTTGAGGGCCACTGTTGAGCCTGTCACAGAGGTGACTGTGATGTGCTTGTGTTCACCGGCTTTATGATGCATGAGGACACAGACATCCTTAGATACGTGTAAAGAAGGGACTGGGAATGGGGAGTAGGGATTTATTTACTGTTTTTCTGAAGGGATTGGGGTTGACTTGAAGAAGAGAAAATGGTTTAAATAGGTATGGAAGTGTATTTCACGTAGACAGAATTGCATAAGCAGACGTACTGAAGGATATGCTGAGTTTAGGAGAAGCAGGGAATGCTGTGAGGATTCACCAAACAGTTCTGGGGGTATGGCAAGAAATAAAGCAGGATAAGGCCAGGCCAGGGTTGTGTGGAGATGAGCTTTGAACTATGCGCCCCGAGTTAGAATTTAACTTGTCACACAGCGAAGAACCCTTATGTTTCTGGGCTGGGTAACATGGCTAGATTGTGCTTCAGTCCAGCAGTGGATAATGAGACCCTGATTAGAAGAGTGACAATGGGAGGAAACCAGGCTGGTGATGACAGGTTTTGATAACAAATATGAAACTAATAATACTTAAATTAAATTAAAATATGGAGTTTAAAAGCAATTTCAGTAATGTTTTCTAAAGGCAGTACTCTACCAAAAGTGAGTTCCTTTTAGATACTTTTGGAGATTCAAAAGGAACTGTATATTTACAGATTTCAGTGTGATATGGGAGATGCAGATATGTTAAGTAACTTTATCTTGAACATTACTTTTAAAAAAAATTGGAACATTACTTTCTTTTAAGCATAGAATCAATCATGGGTAGGTCATATATATAATTTGCAAATAAGTCCATTTCTTCATGTATGATTTTAATAGTTATAAAAGCCATAAATCTGCAAGCTAAAGGTACCCTGGAACATTGAAATCCTTTATATTTATCTTATTGATCCTTAAAATAAATTTCACTTTAATTGCTTTAGTATCAACTAGATTTTTTCCTTTTACTTCATCTACATCTTGATAAAGAATTGCTGACTGTCTATTGACCATTGTGTAAAACAAACAAAACACATGCTTACATCCTTTAACATTTGTAGAATACTGAATATTGTGTTAAGGCTATAAAAATAAAGACACAAACTACCAGGCTCGTTTTCACTCTCTTGATGTCTGACTGGTGCTAATACTTTTTGAGTGAAGTATTTCCTAAATCTCATGACAGAGTTTGATGCTAGTCTGTGTAAAAAGCTGCCATCCAGATGTTCTAAAACAGCACTGACCAACAGAACTATAATGTGACCCACATAAGTAATGGGAAATACTTTAGTTCACATTTCGAAAAGTAAATAATAACTGATAAAATGAACTTTAATAATGTATTTACCCCAGTATATCTAAAATATTTTATCATGTAATCAATATAAAAATATTTTACATTTTTTTATATGTATTTAAAACCTAGCATGTATTTTATACTTAAAACCCATCCATTTGGACACTAATTTCATTGAAAATACTTGATCTGTATTTAGATATAAAATTGGCAGTTGAAGAAGTAGATTCAGACACTCAAGCTGTTCCAAACACTACATTTTCTAAGAACTGAATTGATATGTTTTTAAATTAAAATTTAAAAAAAAGAAAAGAAAAGAATACTTCCTCAATCAGTGTAGCCACATGTCAAGTGCTCAGTGTGACATGCCTAGTGGCTACCGTATTGGAGAGTACAGCTCTAAAATGGTCTCCCCAAGATTACTTTTGATATTCATTAAAAAAAAAATGTGTATAGATTTTGGTTTTATTTTTTATTTACAATGTAATTAGCATTCCCTATTTCCTTTTTGGTTCCAAATTCCTTTATTCTATCTTAACTTGCCTTTTTTTCCAAGACATGCTTGTTCGTTTGGTTTATCTGGAGTCCTCATTTCGATCACGGCACTGTACCAGTTAAATATAATAAGATTAGTTCAGGGCTATAGCTTTCTCTTGAATCTCTGTTTCTACTGGGTTGTCAGAAAAGTCATGACGTATTTTTTCTATGTTTTTCGTTGCAAAAATGCGTCATGACTTTTCCAACAACCCAATATCATATTAACCAAACCCTGCTTCCCTCTGTTTTAGTCATGTGTAGCCCTTGGTAAGCACTGAATATTTTCAGAGTGCTGTCATATGATCTAGTTTAATTCTTGCAACTGTATAAGTAAGTAGCAGAGCTAGTATTCATAAAGAAATATCCTGCAGGAGGTTTTTTTATATTTGCCCGTCACACAGATAGTGAGGAAGCTGAGTCAGAATTCATATTTCTTAACTTTTTTTCTACTGCCATTTCTATCCTATGACACAACAGAATGTGAGACCCCGTCTCTTATTAGTCCCATCTAATCCTACGTTGTAGGCAGCCTTAAAAAGTTCTTAGGATTAAAAAAAAAAATCGTGTTTATAAAAAATGGAAAATTCTTGTTTTAAGAACAGGATTCTTCACTTCATTTAAATTACTGTCTTGCAGTGAGTTGGCCAGGAGGACCGCATCTCCTTGTTTATGTATATATAGATCCATGAGGCAAATGGGAAAAGAGCAATTACAATGGCAATAGCCAACTGAATTCTTCCACCAACTGGATTCCTACAAAGACACAAAAATTATCAATGAAAATCCAATGAAAATTATATAGAGTACTTTGGAAACAAGTATAAAGATGGAGTTCAGTAAAATACATCATTATATTTTTGTATGATCCTTTTTCTCAAATTTTTTATTGAAATATAACATTGATCTGTATGAATTCTTTATATATTCTTAATATACATCCTTGTTGTTTACGTGTTGCAAATAGCTTTTCCCACTCACTTAATGATGTCTTTTGAGGAACTAAAGTCATTGACTAAGGAATGTTAAAATTGATCTTTTCGTAATTTTTTGTGTCCTGTTTAAGAAAATTTTCCCTCTCAAGATCTTGAAAATAATTATTTTTTTCCTAAAAGCTTCATTTTTCTGCCTTCACATTCGATCTGTAATCCATCTGGAATTTGATTTTTTGGAGGTTGTAAAGTAGGGATTGTTTGGCTTTTTTTTTTTCTCTGTGAGTATTCAGTTGCTCCAGCACTATTTATTGAAAAGACTGCCTTCCTTTGCTAACCTGCAGTGCCACTGTTGTCATAAGTCAAGGGTCTATGTATGTATGGATCTGTTCCCTAGATTCTAGATGGTTTCATTCTCGTTTATCCTTTTGCTTTAGCCTATGCTACCTTAGGATAATTACTTAGGTCTTCCTTATTTTAACATTTAGGTCTTCTTTAATTTCTCCTGTAATATTTTATAGTTTTGTGTGTGGATATTTTGCATTTCTCTGCTAGATTTATTCCTAGGGAGTTGATTTTTTTTATTATAAGTAGTAACTTTATTATTTTCTGTTACTTGCTGATAAAAGTGCAGTTGATTTTAGTAATATTGACGTAGTGTTCATCAATCATGCTAAATTCACTTATTCATATAACTTTTTAGATTCGTTTTGATTTTCTATGTATGCAGTCATGTCACCCATGAATAATGAAAATTTAATTTTTCCTTTTCCAGTCCTTGGGCCTTTCATTTCTTTTCTTGCCTTATTTTACTGACTAGGACAATAGCTAGAACAGTGGTGAATAGAAGTGTCAATAATGGCTAACCTCATCTCTTTCCTGATCAGAGGAAAAGTTTCAACAGCTCACTGTTAAGGATCATGCTTTGGCATAAATACCCTTTATCAGTGTAAGTTCCCTTGTATGCCTATTTTCTAAGAGCTGTTATCATGAATGGATGTTGACTTTTACCAAATTCTCTTTTTGTATAGATTAAGATAGTTTACTTTCTTTTTTTCTGTTTATGTGGTGGAAAACATTGGTTGGTTTTGAACATTAAACTAACTATTTTTTTTTT